ACGTATTGAACACCAATAGCGCTCCCAATCGCCTACTTTGAATCCGCCACAACATCTACAGACATCGGGTAATTAACAGTAAAGTGTATTAAAATAAAACATATTTTGTCCCAGTTCCAATTTTTGTGAAATTTACTTCCAAAATCTTTATCTTTGAAAAATGTATCATGTTTTTATCTAATTAAAAAAAGGGAAAAGTCTAAAAAAACTTAATGAACTTTAATATTTGGAATGTTAAGTTTTTGGACAAATTTTTTTAAACAAATAAGTTCTTGGACATTTCAAAACTTATTAAATAATTCATTGGACATTTCAAAACATGTTAGATACATTCTTATGACTTATACAACTAGTTAATGTGGTAAAATAATGAAAAGAGTATAAAAAAAGCCAATAAACTTTCATATTTTAAACGATTAAGTCCCTAAACATTTTTAAACCAAAAAAGTACTTACATCTATAAAATGAAATAAATATATTAAAAAATACTTACATTTAAAAAATTATTATTGATGAAATATATTTTAATTAAAAATAAAATATTTTTTATCAATGATTTTTCAAATTAAAAAAAATAAAAAAGATTTGAAAAAGATTACTGATGAAATTTATTTAATTAAAAATAAAATATATTATGTTGCTGATTTTTCAAATTAAAAAAATAGAAAATAATTTGATTAAATTACTGACCGGATTAACAATAAAATTTAACTAAATACATAATTAATTAAAATTCATCCCTAATTCGTTGGTGAAATGATATCACCAACAAGATTCAAACACGATGTTTCACATTTATTAACTTGTTACTGTGTTAGAGTGTCTGACGGTGGTCAAGTTAGCCATCAATTAGATATAAGTAATCCATGCATATATACCAATGAACACTAACGATGAATTTTAATTAATTGTGTATTTAGTTAAAAAAAATTATCGTTAACCCATCAGTAATTTAATCAAATTAATTTCTATTTTTTTAATTTAAAAAATCACCAACAAAATATATATTTTTTAAGCTAAACTAAATTTTATCATCAATCCTTTTTAAATCTTTTTTTATTTTTTTTATTTAGAAATCATATATGGAATATATTTTATTTTAATTAAAATAAATTAATCAGTAATTTTTTATAAATTCCATTTTATTTTTTTATTTGAAAAATCACTGATAAAATATTATTTTTTTTAACTAAAACAAATTTCATCAATAATCTTTTTTAAATGTAAGTACTTTTTTGTAAATATAAATACTTTTTTGTATATTTATTTCATTTTATAGATATAAGTATTTTTTTGGTTCAAAAAATATTTATGAACTTAATCGTTCAAGATATTAAATTTCATTGGTTTTTTTCAGAATTTTTCCATTATTTTACCATATTAACAAGCTTTATAGGTCAAAAAGATGTATCTAACAGGTTTTAGAAAGTCCAATAAGTTATTTAATAGGTTTTGGAATGTCTAAGGACTTATTTGTTCCAAAAAAATTGTTCAATGACTTAATCATTCAAAACAATAAAGTTTATTGGGTTTTTTAGACTTTTCCTTTAAAAAAAACATACTCTAATTTGCGAAAATAAATATATAATAACTTTTTAAACGTAATTAATTTAAAAAATAATTATTAAACTTTAATGTATTGTTTTGAATACTAAAATAAATTCTTTAAAAATATATTATTCTAAATCTAAAAAGAATAGTTGGAGACTAAAATATCAAATGTCGTGAAAACTAGGGGTGAATATGGTACGATGTTATGTTTACCAACTAATTATAGTTTATAATCGATATGTAAATATTTATACCATGTACCAGCTAACTTTACACTATTAGAAAACAAGATATCAGCGATGAAAATCAGTGAGGGAAAAAATCCTTTGCTCATCCATCGCTGAAACTTTTCCTCGTTGATCAAGCTGAAACTTTCCCTTACTGATCCGTTGCTAAAAGTTTCTCTCGTTGATCCGTCGCTAAAACTTTCCCTTGCTATGGAAGTGTTGTTTTATATTTTTTTTCAAACATTATACTATAATTATATTTAGAGTAATATTGAAGTGTTTATTATAACAATTAAAATTAGATATTAGATAATAATACTGTATTTATGAATTTATGTTTTACATATATGTTTAAGGTCTAACAATATTATTTACAGTTCAAAATAAAATTTTGTTTTTTTTACCATTTATCCATTACCAGTTTTGTTACCCACTATTTTAATAGATAGGGTAGGATATGGATAATTATATGTTTCGTTACCCGCTATTTAAATGGATTAGATAGCTGAATCACTCTTATCCCATCCATACCCTACCCGTTGCCAGCCCTAAGTAAGGCACTAAAGTAGTAACCGAGTAAACAATTAATGTTAACTAATAAATGATTAAATTCCTCTAGAAAAATCAGATGCATTGATAATTAAATATAATTCTCTTAATTATTTTTTATTTAATAAATAATATATATATATATATATATATATATATAAGTTGGTACGTTGCGATATTACCATGATATACGATTTTCAGTACCACGTATCAACCAAGTTTATAAAGTTGGTACGGTAGTACTAACCAGTTTAGTTGTACCCATTGAATTAGTACGGTTCAACTCTTTGTATTCCTCCATTCATAAAGTACATTGAACGTACATAACTGACTATAAAAAAGTTTCTCTGGAAAAAGATGGAGGCTAAAAGTCATATTTAACCAACCCAAACTTTTCATAATACGAGGTTCCCAAAAAGGGAAACTTAAGTACGCCAGTTAATTACAAATTTGCAAGCAAACGGGTTTGAGGATAACAACTTCCTAATCTAATTCCTTACAAGAATTAAGATTACAATTGGTGTCGCCTAAACCACCAAAAATGACTTCAAGTATTGGGGTTCCAAATTACTCCCCAAAGCTCCCTAAGACGACGGATGAAAGACCGCCAAAGCATTCCCACCCTTTGAACCTGAGATACATGTCGACATTAAACAAGTGTTTGGACAAAAAGTCTAGTGAGCATAAACATGAAGTTACCATCATTTAAGACCATTCACTAACTTAGGCCTAAACACCACCCAAATGCGATTTTCATGAATGAGGTTAATTAGATCTTTGGAGATCTCAAATTATAGACCTGGAATGGTTGAACTTGATAACTCGTTAAACTGTAGATTGTAGGTGGTTGAACTTAATGACCATTAATCCATAATGATATTCTTTTTAACATAGATATGCGGCTTACTTTTGTGTTCCGTCACATTCAATGAAATCGGATCTCCCTCGTAGGGATGGTAATAAAAACCGAATACCGAAACTTTCGAGTCAGCCATACGGACATTTTATCGGGGATGGGGTGGGGATCGATGACATATTCGGGATTTTAACGGGGATAGGGACGGTGATCACCGGTCGTCCGGCCCTGCCCGATATGTGTGTGTATGGTAATTTTAATTTATATATATATATATATATATATATAATCATTAAAAGAAAATACTAACATTAAAATTTAAAAGACTTTTATCCACTTTAACTCAACACCCCAAATAGGGCTCATGAAAAAGTCTAATTTATTTGTCTAATCGTGAGTGTGATGTGAATTGTATGATGTTTGAATTTCTGTTTACTTTTATATTGTATTTAAGATATTGTTTGTAATTGGTTTGATCATGTTTGAGACATTTAGACTTATATATTTAAAAAAAAATTGTAATTTATTTTTAGTTGTGAAGATTAACATATTACAACTTTTTCATATTGGTTCTGGTTTCGAATTCGTGTATAACCAACGGTGAACAGGAAACCAACGGGAAAAAGGGGATTTTTACCCTTAACACTTCCCGACGAGGATCAGGGAAATAGCGGGACCCGACGGGAATCCTCGATAAGATCCCCGACGGGGATTGGGGCAGTTACGGAAATGGTTTTAGTTATCGGTTTAGGGGAGGGGGATACCAATAACCTACCCGAACCCAGCCCGTTGCCATTCCTACTCCCTCGTCACCAAAAGGTGTGTTTTAGATATGATATTTGTATCCATATTTTCAGTGTTGTGTTTGGGTACGCAATGTACCCATAATTTGATGTTTTGGATGTTGTTTATTATTCATATTTTGTTGTTTTGGATACTTGAGTTTTATCCAAGTTTCCGGTATTTGAATATCAAGTTTTATTAATGTTTTGCATGAGTATCGGGGTTTAGTTACATATAAAATTTGGTGTTTAGGTTATGGAGTTTTTATTACGAAAATGTTGGGTTTTAGAAATCGTCTTATGGTAAAGACGTTTTATTTTTTAGAATTGGTGGTTTAATAAGCAGTCATTCAGTTTTACCGTTTTATAATATATAATGAAAACTGATTGAACTCACTAAGTTTTAAGCAATTAAGCCTAATATTTCTTCTTATCAGCGTGTACATCAGTTCATTTTGGGGTAACGTGAGAAGCTAAGAAGGGATCTAGACCCTTGATCATCTTTAATCTCAAACCCATCATGAATCATGCTTAATATGAGGATTGATCCAGTGTATCTCGTCGTAATGTGAATCCAAAGATGGTGATCCCTTCTTTCGTTTCTCACCTTAACTCTCTTTCTCACCGGAACTCAATCGTTAAGTGCTGAATGAGGTTGTTTGACAGTTGCTGCATGGTTTGGTGCAGAATGATTAAGATGCTCTTATGATATAGTGCAAAATGAAATATAATTGTTCAGTAATTGTTTACAATGGAATTAAGGTGCTGAATGGTTAAGGGAGATCTATGGTACAAAATCATTCAGAAGGTTTTTGAATCCTTAAGAAACATACATTTTTTTTTGCCAAACAAGATTCACCTGTTAACGATTTAGAGGTAGCCTCTTAATGGAACTATTTAGACACATTGGATAGTGCAACAACAGTTTTGTTTTTGCCAGATTGCCATAAGTTTGAATACTAGCATGCTTTCTGCATCATAGAGTAATTAAAGTAGAAATGAATTGATCAACAAAGTTTAGGCAATGATGGAAAATGGGACAAGATCAACTCCTCTAAACTCTGGAGAGTTAGAACTCATATATTGGTACTAGTAAAGAAATAGAATGATACATTATTGGAGTCTACATGAGAGTCGAACCTGTTTATTCTCGTAGACGCAAAAAAGAAAAAAACAAAAGAAGAACAACTTCACAAATTGTAGCAAATTTGCTACGTGTTGAAACAATAGTATTATATTAGTAATTGAATTGCGTTCGTCCCTCCTCTCGTGCCAAGCCTTTTGCCACTTCTGTCCTCATGCTGCTTTCTGATTCTACAAAAAACGAGCAACTTCTGTAACCGAGGCAGCTAGCTAGAAATACAGAAAGGGAACAAGAGAGTATGTGATCAACTCACCCGTTTCTCTTCTTCTATCTTGGCCTTGATGAGCGAGTAGATTGCAACACCAGCAATGGCAATGGATGTACCGATGGCTGTTTGTGTTGAGATCTTGTTACCTGAAGGAATCATAAATAAAAAAGATATTGTCAGTGGAAACCTCTGGCCTGCCTGCTACTAATCGATGAAAACCTTAAAGAAAGATTAATTACCGAAGATAATGATCGAGAAACCAATCACAAACACCCGTTTTAACACATTGCCAACTGCATGAGTAAGAGGTGCTACCCTTTCAAGTGTGTTGGTTGCAAGCTGAGAAGCCAAAACAAGCACACATATATAGTTCATTATCTCCATCAACACTTAATTATTTGGTTATCTTAAAAGAACACAAAAAAGTTAAACACAACAATATCAGATGAAAATCCCACACAGAGGTAGGGTATGGGGAGGGTTGGATGTCCGCAGGCCTTACCTCTACCCCAAGGGGTAGAGAGGTTTGTTTCCATGAATACCCCCGGTTTGCAAAACAAAACAAAAGTTAACAGGAAACTAGTATGGGAAGTGGCAGACAAGTGCGTGCAAACAAACATCATGTACGGTGTGAGGGGCATAAGATGAAACAAACATGAGAGACATTGCATTGTACCGATAACTACTAGGGCAAGAGGAAAACTAAGTCTGGCAAACAGAATAAACTAAGATTGGCATACAGTAAAAACATGAAATACTAGGGTTCACATAAAGTAAAGGTCCACAAGTAGATGCATAAAGAGGACAAGGAAGGTAGGAAAAACTAACGCTACCCACTATCTAACGTACGTATGCATGTCTAAACATCTGAAAAGCTCGTGTTCATTGACGAAAGAGGGATCTAAGCTTATTGTTTCAGATTTTCAGTTTTTATAGTCTGGAAATGTTGTATTACCAGTCAACTGTTTTATGTAGAGATCATTTAATGTCTACAATGAAAACAAGTTGATCCATTCAAAACTAGAAAATAACTCATTTGACACTCAAGAGTCAAAGATAGAGCACCGAAAGAGGCAAGTACTTCTGATGGACGATACCTGATTGTAGAGGTGATAAAACATTCCCACCCAAAAGAGATCTGACACGAACTTAGTCATGCCCACTTTAGCAATTGCATCACTAAACCCATGCTTTAGAAGTTGAGGTCCCTCCAACTGTTGAGAGATGAAAGGAAGAAGATGCGTAGATTTCAGGTTATGAATTATCTGGGCTGGGGTCTTAAATTAATAGGATTCAACTCACAATTATAGCAGGTGGAATGCAAACGAAGAGTGCAATGATGGAAATGTAGGCATACAAGTTGGTACTGTCCATATCAGTCTGCAAACACAAGAACAAATGTTACAAAACATACCAAAGTTGTTAGTTTTCAGTTCATTCTAAGCTCCATTTTCCATAATTCTCAGGTCATTTGTGGGTCTCAAGTAAATTAGGTAATAATGTAAATTGGACCCACAAAATTAAATAGACGAGTATATCAGCACAGAGGACAACCATGGCTTTCTTCGAGTAAATACTCCTGTAAGTGAAGGAGATATTGGAAATCATCGCACTGATAAAGCCTAGCCAGTTGAATGACAGCTCAGTCAATGAGGCCATTGATACACCTGCATTCAGACTTGATTCAGCTTTAGATAGTACAATACTGCCTCTTTATTTAGATGAATTCACAAATCAAACCATGAAAATTCATTTGATTTCATTTGATTGGGCACATGAATCAACCATTTAAGTTACTCTTCAATTAATAGTACTTCTTGACCCAAATCAATATGCTAAGTTTTATAAAATGAAGAAAAACATACCAAAAGGTAAACTTGCCAAAAAAGGAAAACTTCGCATTTTTATGGGTTTTTTGTGGGGATATATCCGTAATTATGACCAGAATATCCGAGTATAGTCTATACATGTGAATATTAAAGATCAAATATAACCATTTCTGGAAGGAAACGAGCGTACCAAGTACAACTGGAGCCAGGGACAGCCATAAAGTTATGGGTATTGACTGTCCAAGAATGAATTGAGAAGCAGCAGCATTGAAGAACGGCTCAAGGGCTATTCACAAGAATTAAAGAAATAATGAGGATTCCTTTGATTCATCGCATAGAAAAACTTGTTTACAGCTCTCTGCAATTCTTTATTCATGTCTGGTTACCTTTGATTGTGTGGGTGAATGAGACAGCAACAGCTGCAAACGACACATTGCTGGTCACATGGCCAAGTGCATGACATACAGCCACAGGAATAAGAAGCTTCAGAAGGTTCGAGTCCATTGGCTACACAAGGAACACCACATGATGTCAGCATGTCATAACAACTCTGAGGGACACCAGGAGATGACACATATATACACCCCAGGAAATCTTGATCATTCATTCTTCTTGGGCCATGTTTGGCACCCATAAGCTAACTTGTTCTTTGAGCTTATTAAAAAAGTTCTAGTTTGGTTCCAAGGGCTTTTTTCCACCTTTTTCAAATATGTCCCTTATTTTTCCAATTAATATTTCAACTTGTCATTGTAGGTCATCTTATATTGTATATAGCTTTTCAGCTAGTTTTTACTAAACATGACTAGTTTACAAGCTAACTTTTTAGCTAGTTTGCCAAACAAATGCCCTAATTGAACATACAGGGCAATAATATTTGGAAGATAAAACATGAGCTTTGCAAACAAAGAGTGATCATAGTTTTGAATCATTGCATTTGGCATTTTGTTCCTAAACAATGCACGTAAAACAATATTCAAAATAGTCGCATACAACGCCCTACGTAGCATGACTTTCAGGAAATTCACTTACAGCGCGTTTTGGAAGGCCAACAGTCCAGCTACCAAGACAATAAACAACTCCAACAGCCAAATGTATGACAGAGACAAAACTGCATAACAATGCCCTTCACAAATTGTTATCACATGGCCTCATTGGCAAATAGAACTATGAAGTTTGTGAAGGACTTACTAGGGATAAGGGAAGTAATTGTAGATTTTCTTGTTGAGTATGTTGAAGATGACATTGAGAAAGTACCTTCAAAGCAAAGGACAATACATCAATACCATTCCTGAATTCGTTAACATTGTTCAAGTTAATATACTCAAGGTCAGGGTCTCATGTGTCTGCATACCAAAACAGTATTATAACCGTATCAAAAAGAAACTACTCATATTTTAGAAAAAAATGTAACTTAGCATTCGAGAGTACATAAAAGAACAAAAATATCATGAGGGGTAGCTTATCCAGTAAGATGTTGGGTTTGTTTCCAAGTGGTAACCAGCTTCCTCAGGACCAGAATTCCATAGACTGGTTGAGGTGCTTATTATTTAACACGTGGAAATATGTAATTATATAAAATATCATCACCCGAATCATTGTTCATGAAAAAAATGTATAAATGTTGCAACTTTCGAGAAATTTTTTGCGTAAGCAAGTGTGGCAAATTCAAATGATTGCTAGAAAAAATCTAATCTTATCATCTTAAAATTAACAAACGCAATAAGATAATTTTAACAATTAATTTATAGAGGAATCTCATTGATCAAGACAATACTACCATCTTGTAACCATAAATCTGAAATATTTTAATATCATAATCAATATTGAATACTCTAAAATAGGGAATCTGGTGGAGATAATGTAATTGTTTTTGACTTTTGATTCTTCATGACGATAAACCGATCTTAGGTTTTAATATCATCCAATTAATTAATACCCTCCCTATAGAAAGGATTCTAGGACAAGTTTCGCTATTTAAAGGTAGATTCGTGGAAGAAAAACCGACAAAAATAATGTATAAAAACTAATCTCCGATTAGTTAAGCATGCACACTAATTGAGGCGTTCATGTTGACGTGACCTACCACATGAAGAAGAAAAATCCGGTAATCAGAAACGGATACTTTGCCAAGAAGCCGACGGGAGCAGCATCCCTACCACATCAATCAATAACAAATCAGTGAACGGTTGTTGAAATCAAATCAAAATGAAATTGAAGTTCAAATGGAGATATAGGATCTAACCCGGCGGAATCACTAGCAGTGGCGAGACAGGGTTTGAGAACATCACGCTTTACCGTCGTTGAGGAGATGTAATCGAGGTTTAGTAAGCTCGGGCGGAGCTGCCTTCCCCAAACGAGATTCCCTCCGTCATTGTTAAGCCTCGCCGGAAATGAAACGGCGACGGCATTTAGTCTGGCGCTGGCCACCGGTTTCGTCAGCCTAGGAATGCCGGAGATGGTGGTGGCCCCGGATGACAGCACTCGAGACTCCATTGTTTGGTTATAGAGAGAAAATGGTTGGACTAACAATGGTGTCGTTGGCTGGTGTCCATGTAATAGCAGGAAGGAGATGTTATCTTGCACCGAGTACCAATCAGCTGTGCTTTTGTCCACCATTATATTCATGGACTTTCAATCTCGTCGCTTGGATTTTTCTTTTCATTTTTGTTAAACAAAAATACATAAAATCTATTCAAATTATTACAAATTTTATTCATGTAATTTGATTAGTTTTTTTATTTAAGTTTAATACGTTACCAAAAATTAGTTGTGTGCTTTTATATCTTAATTTTACTAGAAGGGTACTCGTGCAATATGATGAGATAAATCTTCATTTTAATATTTAGTTTTTATTTTGTTTCTATCAATATAATACGATTTTATGTAGTTTTGTGAAAAAGATAATGTTTTTATTTTGGAATGAAATATAAATTTGAAAATAACATAAAAATTTTAAAAAATTAAATTGATATTAGTATTAAATTAACTATTTAATAATTCTTTTTTTAACTTTTTTAGTTCAGTTTTCTATTATAATTTAATTTATATTTGATAACAAAGTAA